GACATTCAATAAATTAATCAACCCAAGCCTATCTGCATAGAGAAACAGACAGCTCCCTCTACTGGGTGAGACAATGCAGCTCCTCCTGTCCTTCCCCCCACTCCACAGAACAGACTTGTGCATACTTAATTCTCCAATAAATTTTTTTTTAAAAATCCAGTCCACAAGATGGTATCAAGTTGTTTAGATTACTCTGCAATTTCAGGAATTGGCCCACAGAAACCAAATTTCTGTAGTTTCTACATTTAAAAACACAGAGGAGAAAATTATTCCCATAGGTCTGCGTAAGAGCCTGATGAAGTAACATCCTATCTCTAGGTGAAACACTTGAAAACCCGGTGATCCTTTTATCAGTGTCCACTGTCAGCCCAGGTCTGGGAATAGACAGAGTTCAGCAGTGTTAGTCACAGTATGCATTTAACATCTGGCTTTTCTTACTGCTACTCAATTAAACTCTTTCTTGTACATCCCTGCCTCAAGAGACAGCCCTCACCTTATTTAAGGGAATGGCTGCAGCTTTCCACCTGCATGAGGCTACATCATAACGGCAGCTGCAAGCAATTGCTCCCATGTAGAACAGAGAGTGATGAAATATAGCACAGGTAGACAGCAGACAATGGCACAAGTGAAAGGCAATGATCTGCATTTCAAGTGCTTATATTTGGATCTTCTAAGAAAGCTACAATGTTTTTTCTTTTTCAGTCATCCCATCTGAAACACAAGGCTAGAAGCAACACTTTTAATTTATACAGTATTAGTCTTTTTCTTTCTGTAGATCTCAAAACACTCACAAAAGTGGGTAAGAACTGTCTGCTCAGTGTAACAACCCAGCCTGCACCAGTTCCTGCCAAAGGCACTGCCAGGTCAGTAGGCAAACCTCAAACCTGCAATCTCTTGAATTGGAAAGTTCTTCTTAGCCTTGCTACAAGTTTCCACAGCAAACTTTTGCAAAATAAAAGCATGCTGTGTCCAAGCTGTCTGCCTCTAAAAGCAAAAGTTACTGACACTGCTTCTTTGGAGGCAACTGTAAAAACTGCCACTGAGGAAAACATGTGGTATCTGCAGATCTGTTCAAGCTCTCCATTTAGAGCAGATGGGGCTAAAACTCATGACCTGGGCATGCCATGCTTAGAGCTGGCAGACACTCACTGGTCATACAACCGACTGACTCCTCCAACATAATATGTGTTTCTTTTCTTTTCACTTTTCACAAGATCCCTTTGCAAGTTTGTTGTGGTTTTGCCTCAATTTGCAACAAAAGAACCACACAGTTACTCTCTCACTCCTTCCCCCTCCCCGGTGGGATGGGGAAGAGAATCCGAAGGAAAAAAGGCAAAAATTCGTGGGTTGGGATGAGAACAGTTTAACAGAACAGCAAAGGGAGAAGAAAACAACACTCAATAATAAAGCATATACAACATGCAGTGTTCTCACCACCCAATGCCCAGCTTGCTCCCGAGTAGCAAAAGCCTCTCCTTCAGCCAGCTCCCCACGTAAATACTGAGCGTGACATCACATGGTATAGAACATCCCATTTGATCGCCTGTTTGGGTCAGCCCAGCCAGCTTCTTATGAAAATTAACTCTATCCCAGCTGAACCCAGGACAAAGTTGAAGCAGCAGCAAAATTCTAGGTTTTTTCATCACCTTGACTTTCACCATCTGAGTTTCTTTAACGCTGCATGATTCCTGTCTTTGAACTTCCTACAAGTACCAGACAATATTTGTTCAACCTTTGACAGCATGGTAAGTTTTTGGAGCTTTTTTGGGTTGAGATGTTTAATGGCAGAAAAAGAGATGGAGAAAAATCATATAATATTTATAAGCACAGTGAGATCACACACTCCAAGCAACAATTATACCATTTAAAATCTACATGTAAAGTTACCTTAGTGGCTAACTTGCTACTCTGTTCAAAAATATTTTTCCAAATTAATTGGATGAACAGCAACCAAAGCACATCTATACTTATGTGCCCTGAAAATGTACCCTTCTTACTATCAATCATTTTCTCTCAGCAGACACATTTCCACCTTCCAAAGCCACCAATAATGACATCTTCTGATAAAACAATAAACACCTCAGTTTAATTTAAAATTATTCACAAATGGAGTAAAGCACAGAGCTAAAAAAATCTTCCATTTGACAGCTTGGAACCTATAAGAAACAGACCTCTGCTAAAGCCAAGAGACAGACACAGATGCTGTGGTAAAAATTACAGAGCACTACAGATCCAACTTACGGACAGGCTCTTTACAAGCACTCTTAATTCATAAACTGCACTGGAATGACTACAGTCATGAAGAGATTCTGGAAACCTACACACCATCACTAACAAGGAAGGGCAAGAGCCATAACCTCCTCTTCTAACCCTTTCATCCTACAACAATTGCTCAGAGTTTGCATTTCAATTGTAACTAGGGAACAGGAAAGCAAAGCAGAAGGGAACACAGGGCATCTAAACGATCCCCATCGCTGAGTGATAAGGACAAAAAGCAGACAGTGAAGCAGGATGTCTTTTAGCAACAGATTGGCAATTTAAGTGCAGCTTGGTCTAGATTAGCTCAGAGGATGCCCACCATGCTATAGCTGTTCAATGGACTAACAAGACTTTGGCCCTGCAGGCCTTTTAATTCAGAAAATTTTATCAACATGGCTGCAGTCCAGGAGCAGCTCAGGTCAACCGTGACTGAAATTCATGCAGCTTTCAGCTACCCTTCAGCAGTTGTACTGCCATGAGTTTCAATGAGTGGGAGAGATTTATGCATAGCACTGATAAGGGCTAAGGACATCCTTGGAAAAGGATGGCTATTCACTGTCTAATAAACCTTTCTCCTCTATATGCCTTGTCCTCACGAGCTCCCTCTGTGAGAGGCCCAAAGCTGCCTCAGTCTCAGTTCTTTTCTAATATGGAATTCCAGAGGAGCAGGAAACATAAGCACGCAGCACAATTCACTGCAATACAAAGCAGCCATTCTCACTAAAAAAAAACAAACAAAATTGCCCCTTATCTACCCAGAATGGAAACAAGCAGCTATCTCATGTTTTGGAGGCAGTATGAGACCTTCTTACACAGTAACTGGAGAGCCCTATCCAAACTGGTATTCCACGTAACAGCTCTTGAGAAACAACAGTATCATCATGCACTATCTAGATGAAGCTATTATTGACTTAGAAGTTATATAAGGAGAAACATAATATACATAAATTCTAGACAGGTATGTTCTTACTGAAAGTAGGGGAAGGTAAACTAGTTATCTTGTTATTTGCATTAATACTGACAGAAACCAGCTGCTGGGAAATGCTGGGAAAACAGCATTCAACCTTTCATTCCATCAGCAAAACTGCTAAACACTCCGCGCGCCAGTGAATGATTTTGCATTGTGGAGACAGCCAGTGCCTGTACTGCAGACAAACCCTTGGTTGAGACCTCATCAGCTCCTGGAGCACAGGCCTTGCTGTCAAAGCCAAAGCCCAGCATTATTGTCTTTTGCATGTCTCCCACAGCCAGTTCTTTGCTCTTGGAACTCACCACCCACACAGGCCGGGGGGATTCACCTGCAAAGCTTTACAGGTTCCCTTGAGGCGAGCATCTCGCAGTCCCCACTATGTTTGTTCTCTGCACAGGTTCTCTACTCTCTTCTTACTGAAGGAAACTGCAAAAGCACTATCCCCCCTCAGCCCGATGCCCACAGCTGTAGCTGCCACAGATGCTCATTACTGCAGAAAGCATGTGTAGCTCCTATACTCCGTGGTGAGTACAGAAAGCCTGTGCTGGCACTGCTGGTTTTGGTGCTCCATGAGGGAGCAACTTCTACGTGGAAAGCTGTGCTGAATTGCAGCAATGACTGTTACTTGACTTAGTGGATTCTGCTTCTCTAGTACTAAATATCATTTTCACGGCTGTTCAAGTAAAAGGAGTTTCACAACTCTTGATCTCTGGAGGCAGGAAAGAGAAAATGATAAGCTGAGCATTTGTTGGGTGTTTGCACTTCTCCAAAGCAGATTAGACATCAGTAACCTTAGATTAAAAGCTTCAATACCACTAAAAAGTGAATTTTTACAGTTTCTTTTCATGATAACGGACAAGGCACCACACTCCAATGTTTCTGAGAGCTCACCTGACTTTTGCTCTTTTATTTTTATGGAAAAGTAAGATCAGGACAAAGAATTCAAAAGAAAAATCAAAAAGTAAAAAAACTAACTCAGAAAGTGGAGGCCTAACACCCAATCACTGCTCCCTGCCTCCTCCCAAAATAATCCCAGATTAGACTAGCAAAACAGGATCTCACCAGGTCCAGGTGTTCTTCCTTTTCTTCCCTAGCACAGAAGCACTAAGTACTTGTACTGCCCCTGTACACAATGACACCCAGAAAGGATTCTTATTTCATATGCATGAGACAGATATGCACCTCCACTGAGACACAGACTTGAAAAAGAATCTTGTTTATTCCCAACCACAGACAAGTCTGTAATTAATTTCTTTTAACTTTCATGAGACTGCTTTACACTGGGGAAACAAGGTGGTGCAGTATAATGAACTGGCTAGAAGAAAATTAAACAGTAACAACTCACTCCTTGCATGACCATATCGAAATTAAAAATTTTTGGCATACCAAAGTCAACTACACATATGCCCTCTCTGCAAACTACCGGTATGTCATACAGGTTACAGGCACAGCCAGGTTGTACTGAAAAACTGTCAGCTTCCAACACTGACAGACTGCCTCATTCACCCTTGAATTCAACTGTGGTAAGACTTCTATTTCTCTACTGCTTGTCACGCAAGCATTTTGCCAACATCGCAGTTTGCCTGTACAGACTGTATAACTCTGCACACATTCCTTCTGTATTTTGCTCAAACATATACCACCTGCAGAAACAGAGTGCCCTCTAGCTCTGGCCAAACTCAAGAGAATTTTTCTAGAACTGTTTCCTTAAAGCCCAGCACTTACAGACAAAGGAGAGAGAGCGAGAGCATTCTGTTACCCGTACTCTTACCTGTCCTGGGGTCAAACAGCTGGTTGGCCTCCAAGTCTGTGAAAGTGCTGAAGCAAATGGGGCATTTAAAAGAGGCGCGATTGGTGGAGTCTCTTTCATCGGTCTCAATCCTCCTCCTCATGTGGTCCAGCTTGTACTTCACCACATTAACCAGAAGGCGGTAGTTGATGAAGTAGTAGTTATGACGGGTGGTTTTGCCATCTGGAGCTGTCTCTACCCTCATCCTGCATTTGATGAACTTGTCACCCTTGAGGGTGTTGAGGACAGCCCGCAACTGCTTCCTATCAAACTTCAGGAGCTCCAGCATGTCCTCTTCCTTCACACAGGGGTTCCTGATGAGAATGTCCAGAGCCAAAGCATGCTCAATGCCATAGAAGCCACGCACCACGTATTTGGCAAGGCGTTTGAGAGCTGCTGGGACCTCAGTGAGGACATCTGGGTCAGTCATAGCAGGTTCAGATCTTGAGCTTCATGTATACTGCAATGAAAAAAGGCAGATAGATTCTCAGCTAGCCTTCTGACTTCAGAAGTTTTGATTTAACTCACTTAGAGCTAAGGAAAGGATGGTGTGTTTTCCACTTCTCTTTCCCAAGCCCTACACTGTCTCCTTAGTTGTTAATAACACCAACACTACAGAAGTAGAATTTGGAAATGGTACCTCTCACTCAAAACAAGATTATGGAAAACTTAAAGTGCACAAAATTAACTCTATTCCAGCTGAAATCAGGACAAACTGGTACCATAACTTACGGCAAATTTCATTACTACTCAGTCACAGCCAGTTGAGCTGGAATAAGAAAGCTGTCTTTAAACTGAGCTCCAACTTCATGATCAGCTGAGAACTGTAGCTTGGGAGAAGCAGAAAAAGGCTACAGCAAGAAAGGTCTTAAGACAGCCCTAGAGCAGAGCAGTCTTACGGCCCCAGTTGATGTCACTTGATCACATTGTATCTAGCCCCACCTGCTTCTACTCCTCAGACATCACTGGGCAGAGATATTATTTGGGACTGAGTGCGCCCTCAGCAAGTTTGC